AACAAGAATTGCAATCAGTAGCATGCAGACCAGGAACAAGGTTTAAATACATTTGAAGCGGCACCAACTTTGACACTTTCTTCACAGAGAGTATCTCCACACCCCACCCCGCTCGTTTATGACCGAATTCTGCTGCGTGCATTGCTCGCATTGAGGAAAACTTCCCTTTTGGCAACCTGTGAACCTTTTATCCTCATCCAGACCTGATGTAATAAATTCTTCCTCGGCTCATCTACTCCACTGTTATTCATGTCTGTGTGGCCGAACGGCATGACCATCTCCATACGAATGTTCCCAGTCCCCCCCCCCCCCCCACAACATGACAAGATGGCCCCTTTTGTTTCTCAACCATCTGATACCTTCCCCACTCAGCTGGAAACATGCCTCTTTGAACCTCTGCGGAAGAGATGAAACCATATACCTTGAATCACTCAGACTATAAAGTCACGTGAGCGGGCCTGACACCTCTTGATTACTTCATTAAAAATCCCATTAATAATTAACAAACTATGTGCTCGTGCAGCATGTTTTTAAAACTCTGGGGTGTGTCTCTCCCGGTGGGGCCCCCACCGGAGGCCCAGCAGTTTGAGAACGATAAAGAAAAAGGATGTTTAATCCTTACTGAGGTGACTTCAGCAATTGATTTTTACTTTCGACCATAAAAGAGGGCACGCAGTCACGGGTGAGAAGAAAACTCTTCAAAATAGGCTCTTGGGGGGGCGGGGGGGGGGCGGTTTCATCAGACTCTCCGTCCCACAAAGAAAAGACGAATAAAATCCGAAGGAGCCAGGGGGTAATCAAAGTCAAGTTAGGAGAATGTGTCTGTCATGGTTGCAAAGTCGCCTCCGGGCAAAACAAGATCGGTCCGAATTAATTTTTTAGGACATCGTGTGAGTTAAATTGACTGAATAAAGCTTCCATTTGCTTCTGCGGCTCTGTGAGAAAAAAATGTATTCAGGTCAAGAGAAAAGTACGGTTCGTTGCGCTGGAGGTGAATTTAAATTGTACACTGTGTAGGGAAATGAAAACATCGTCTGACAAGAGGAGGAGGAGCATTACTCATCTTAATGTACAATTTGATTAGAGGCTGGGGGTATTTGAGCCTTAAGTGGCTTATTTCCATTTCGAGCCATTAATTATGTAAAACGTTATTCACATCGCCGTTCTTTTATTATGATCCCAACTATCGGTCTCCTGTGTAATATTTAATAAGAAGAATGAGAAGGTGTCATCAAGTTCCAAGTAAAACGTCGCCACTTTTTTTCTCTATCTCTATGAATGAAAGGTTCGCAGTCCTCTGGAAAACACTGATTTTGCATGAAATGCCATTGTCGGGTGTAAACTGAGTGTTGCCGAACCCGATCCCAGGTGTGGAGATGATGCCAAATAGAAAAAAGAAAAAAAAAAAGATTGCTATGTGAAAATCCGACAACTGTCATCATCAAAATGCTAATTTTATGTATGGGTAGCATGCGGCACAGTCAGCTGGAGGAAACGTTTGCCTCCGGAGACAACCAAGCCTACCACGCACACTGAACATACAAATGTTCAACGGCAAATGAAACCTGCTGTTATTATTCGCTGTTCTTGCTCCTACAAATCTCACCCCTCATAATCCTTGTCACCGACAACCGATGCCCTTTCGCGTACTGCCTAAAAAAGCGCAATGACACAAATATCTCTTTATTCGTCATCATTCTAAATGTTACTTTTTTTACTTCGTTCTTGCTTGTACTGTGAGCATTTTATTTCATGAAAAAACATGACTGTGGATGGTATGATAAACAATGACTTCTCGGCCATGTTGGTTGTTTGCTACGGCGTGAAAGTAATGAATTTGAGTGACATCAAAATCTTACTTTAGCTGTGGGGGGGGTGGCCACAGAGGGCCACCAATGCCACCACGTAGCTCCGCCCCTGTACACATGCCAGTTTACTTCAAACTAAAAAGCTACAATTTTACTTCGGTTGTGTCTACATTTTTATTTATTTAAGCGGTAAAGCAGATCTAGGTCGAGTAATTATTTTAGGGCCCAGTAAAGGTCCATTTTCTACCGTTGATCCTGTTGAGGGTCAAACGAACCGAAGTCTATCCCAGCCCACTTGAGGCGAGAGGAAAGGAAGATCCTTTTCAAGGTAAGTGAAAAGTAACACATTTTGAAATACTTTAAATGCAAGTAACAGTGTGATGAGGAATGCAGTCGCAAACTACTGCGGATACATTCATCCTTTGCAATAACATGAACACCGAAAGGTACCTCCAATTTTGTTTTGTCTGAAGTACACGGAGGACATATAAAAAAGGCTTTCTATTTTATTCTACCATGCTGCAATTTAAAAGTATGTTGTCCACTTATCAGTGCTTTGGAGTGCTGGAGGCCATGAGTTCCAATTCACACCCTGTGACTTTTTTTTTTTTTTGGCTTTGATCAAAGCCTCGCTACTGTACCAATGACTTTTATGACACAAATACAAGTAGGTGTGTCTTCCAATCTATTCCACAAGACTTCATGGTAAAATCAGTTGATTCCTGGGCGGATCAATGAGCTGGTAGCAAATTCTGATGGCTACGTTGAATTATAAATAAAGACCTTGTGTTAACCGCTTTTCAAAAACATCATACAAAAATACTTTCAATAACTATTGCTCATTCCGATTATGAAGGGAGGTAGGTCGAGTAGCCGGAGTCCGTATTTGGTCATGTGATGGCCTAATTCTGTTTGATTGGTCAAAAGGAGTCAGACAGCGCTAGTAGTTTCGTTGGATCGGTGACGCAGTCACGTGCCACAAATCCGACGGTCGCAGAAGCAAAAATTAAAAACCTGTAGATAAAAATACAAGCAGCTAGGTGAATGTAGATAAAAGCTGCCCACTGCGGTTCAACTTGCATCACTCAAACCCTCTGCTCAATGTTTACCGATGCAGCTGTCAATCCGCAGCGGATCAACATCAACCTGAACGACATGATTGTCCACAAGAGTGTGTGAACAAATCCTCACTCCACCTGCATGCCAAATGGAATATGTAGGAGGTAGTCAGCAGAAACCGTTTGAGACAATTTAATGGATGAACCATGACACGTACGCGGTAACAAGATCGCTCCACTTTCATTAATGAATTGAAAACATTAACATCATGCAGTTGCCATGCCAACCTGTTCCCAGACTCTTTGGACCAATGACAACAGAATATGTTTTGGAAACTCACCGAGACATCAAAGAGCTCCTCCGTGTCATCCAACATGTGGACCCTGATGGTGACATGCCTTCCGGCGGGCATGGCCGGGGGTCTGTGCGCCGGGTCTAGTGTACTGATGCCAAGAGTCTCCGGGGCCCCGAGACGGTGCCCTGCTCTCGACGTCACAGGCTCCGGGTCGGGATCTGTCATGTTGCCGTGCGCTGCTCGCTGCCCACCCTGCGACAGACGTCAAGAACGGCATCAGGCTTGACGCAGGTACGCAATGAGCTGCGTAACCCCGCCCCTTTGCTCACATTAATACAGTCATGACAGAGGCTGGATTCACACCGACCGCAAACGGTCGCCTGTGGGACAAGCGATTGAATGGAAAGTAATGTTCAGCACGTTCCTGATTTCAGGGCACAAACCAGACTGCGGTAATTTGATTTGACGCTGAAATTACGAGGCGGCAGCGCTAAGATCTGCGAGACATGCAAAATAATATTGATTTGGCAGGCTCGGCATATCAAGTTACAGAAATATAGTTGGTGTCACATTTAATGCAGTAAATGGAGCGTAGGAGAAAATCAGAACGACACACATTCCCATGAGTACTTTTCAGAATCAAAATTTAGGAAAGTGGAGTCTGTATTTGTCTCCTTTGAACAGGTGAGTTGAGGACAATCTCCTATTATGTTATTTAAAACTTGTTCACAAGGCCCTGAAACACCCTCATTCCCGGAGCCATGCTGGATTCTCTCCTGAGTGCACATTCCATCTGTCTGATGTCATCCTGAGACCTCGCCGCGTCGTGCAAGCGGGTTCCGCACCCACGAGCGTGGGCAGCCGCTCAACCGCCGCAGAGGTGCACGACCGCTGCCAATCGTTTAGCGCTCCAAAGTGGAGAATGCAATTCAGCAGAGTGCGTCAAGACAACAGGCCAAGGACTGAGCGGACACAAAGCACAAAAATGTTTGATTTGAGATAGGATCGTGGTCACGGAACAAATTCAACGTGGTAAGTCAAAGCACCGATGTACTTTGCACTTATGACAGTGTTTGACGTGTTTTTACATGGTAAGAATGTTTAAAGGTTTTTTTTTTTAATGGTATATAGCTTGATAATCTTACTCGGATGTCTATATTATTCAAACTTAAATAAGTCGATGTGAACAAATGCTCCTCAACTCACTTCAACAGAGCTCGAACTTCTTTGGCACCAACATACCACAAGCTGGCGTGTAAAGACAAAAACAGCAAATAGAATTACGATGGATCCATGAATGTGACTTTGCGAATACGGAACGGCTAATATGCGTTGACATGAGAGTTGCTCTCAACTAAAACGCTGCATGATTCTATTCTGTTCTCTCTCTCTCTCTCTCTCTCTCTCTCTCTCTCTCTCTCTCTCTCTCTCTCTCTCTCTCGAAACAGACCCCATGCATTCAACCATTTCACACCACTTATCCTGCTCAGGTCACGGGTGAACTGGAGTCCAAACCAGCTGATTTTTGGCAGGCGCCAGGGTCCACCCTGGACTGATTGCCAGTACAGGGTGCATCATAGACAAACAACCATTTACACTTCTATTCACACCCACAGCCATTTTTTTAATCTTCCTTTAACCGAACATCCATTCATCCATTAATCTATAGCGCCTGTCCTTATAAAGTGTGTGGCTCGAACTTTTCACTGCAAGCAAATATTTCAGATAAACACCGGCAAAAGGGATGACTGAGGAAGTGTGACTGACACACACACACACACACACACACACACACACACATGCCACTAAATGAATCACCTGGTCATGAGTCAAGGCCAATGACTTCCTCTGAATAGGTCACTATGTAAAAACTAAGGAACAATTTGTCATTGTACACCAGCACCTTGTTGCTCAGTGTCATAAAGCAAAGGGGCCCTGCATGAAAAAGCCAGAGCCCGTGGAAGTGTTTTCCACAGATAATGACCCTGCCTTTGAACATGCTGGCTTGAAATTCCCCACTAATGTGTAACATGGAGCTGTTAAAAAAAAAAAAAAGAAAGAAGAAAAAAAAGCAACTGGCTTATAGTCTCTCCTCGGCTGGAACAGTGGTTCTTCTGTGTGCAGGGGCAACACACAAGGGCTCCTCAGTGAGGGTCAACACCGCACAGCTGGAATGCTTTAGTGACAGCTGGATGGCCATAGGCCCTGATGCACCGAAACAACCAGCTGTGCCCAAACTGGAACCACAGCAACATCCTTCACTCACACAGGGGTGTGGTTGGAGCGTGACAAATTCCCACTGGGATTTTTTTTTTTTTTTTTTTGCCAATTGGAAATCTATCATCAAGAGAGCAGCCAAGCAACGCCAGCAGGATATCTCGCCAACCGGGCATGCAATTTAAAGCCTCTGCAGGGATTCAGTGGAATTGAATGGCGGAATCCACCAGTCCGATTTTGTAATGTAGGTTAATGGAGCAGACTGCTGCAAAGCGCAGCATGTTTGCATGCATCATGTGCAACGCCACCGACACTCACCTGGTCAGACGGTGCAAACTAGATTACCGGTGAAAACGTGCATTTTCGTGCACGGTACGGCGTCAAAAAAAATAAAAATAAATAAATAACCGCCACGGCCGCAGCCTTCTGCGCAAATTCACCAAAGATGCATTAGTCGTGCAATGCAAAAGGCAAAGGTTCGTTTACATAGTGAAGATTTCCCCCAACTGTTTCCCACGAAAGCCACAGGATGACGGAAACACCACGTAAAACTTAACCCTAATCTCCTCAAACAAGTTGGATCACTTCCTCCAAGAGCACACGGGATTTGGCAAACTCGAAATCTTACCGGTGCGTTTTCCCCCTTGGAAATGCCTCTTTTTTTTAATTCCACACCTTCGGATACTCCGGTCGAGTGGATTACATGGACGTCCGGCGGCGGGCCAAAATTAAGGAACGCGGTCAGGCGGCCCAGGTGACTTTTTAGGTGCTGCTCGGACCGGATAAGAGAGTTTCTGCGGTCGCCATGGCGGACGGCAGAGTGAGTGAGTGAGTGAGCGAGCCGGCGGTTGCAGACGAGATTACTGCAAACCGAGCGGCCGATTCACTCCGGCAGGCTTCGTCGCAAGGAAGGAGGCGCAGCCGGGACGAGCAGACAAACTGGAAGAGCTACAGCCCCATCTAGAGGCCAACGTGGGATTAAAAAAACACCGGAAAAAAAGAGAACGTCCGATATGTACGATCGACGTAAAAAGTCTACACAGCTTGTTCAATTATGTCAGGTTTTTGTGATGTAAATAATGAGAACAGGAAAACTCAAGTAAAAATACTTTTGGGACCATGAATATTATCTATAAACTGCACAACTAAAGTGAAAATAAAATGTTCTCTTTTAAATTACTGTCTTCATTGGGTTCCATTGAAATTATTTTCGACTCTTCTCCTGACTGCTGCTTTTGAACAATGAGAAATGAACAGTAAATTCCATCTGATGCTCAACTCCGTTCAATTTTGAGAGCACTCTCACAATTGGTCGGTGCTGGTCAATAGAGGGCGCTGTAAGGCACTGGCCAACCGTTCATTTGTGTCATCACCAAGATAAAGGTGAAAGAAGAAAATTAAATAACCTACTAAAAAGATTTCAAGTGTGTAGATATATCCTTTTTAGTACACAATTAATATTGGGTAAAATTATTTCACGTACATCTGTTCTTATTTTGTGATACACTTCCGTTTTTGGGCGCACAAATCTTCGTCCTTGACTTCTTAATTTCAACAGAACCGCAGCTGTAACAAAGTATTAAAAAATAACACAGGAACTAAAAGAATAATAATAAGAATCTGCGGACAATGGCTTGTACTTCAAAATGTGTCTAGAAATGCATGCTATTTAATGTGTGTTTAAATGAAAATGATTTTCAAGACGTTTTGGAGCGTAATGTGCTGGCCAGTGTCAGAAACCTTGGTCACACTTGCAGGACACAAGGATAAAGACGCCAAAACATAACCAATAACAAAAGAGTGGCTAAGAACAAATCATTTTGATGGATCTTGACATAAATATTATCAAACACTTGTAAAAGAAGTTGAAACATACAGTCTGGAGAAGGCACCATTGAAACTTAAGATTGGAAAACTTCATCTGGTGAGTGTGGGGAGAAAAAAAAAGTGTTGAAACATACTCAAAGTTTCATTGCGTTCTAGAAATCTATGATTGCAGTGATTAAAATACTAAGGGTGCCATCACTTTTGTTCAGGCCATTTCTCATACGTAATCTTCTTGTAGTTGGTGACAGTATGACTTTAGAAAATTCAAAACTGTTTTGAAATCCAAGAATTAACATCGTTTATTTGATATATTACAATTTTTACATGACAGTTGTCATGAAGGCACGGATCAACACATCTTACACCGCTGTACAATAAAATCTAACAGAAAACTATAAGAATTGGGAAAAATGAACTTCTTTTTCATGCTTTTAGTAACATAACATTCACTAACAATCCTCTGCATCCGAATCCACTGATGTGCACACAGTGGCATTATTCTAAGAAAGGGATAACATTTCCCGCTCACTTGTTAAACCCAATATGCCTTAATTAGTTTCATAAATACAACAGATTTCTCAGTCAACCTCCTTGGTGTGCAAAATGGAAAACACGATTTACCCAAATAGAAACAATCTTAAAAAAACATCGTCATAAATTACACAGCATCTGCAGTTCACTGGAGTCATAAGTCAAGGTCGGTGCGGTCGTCTGGATCCCAACCAAAGAATCCTGTCCTCGGATCTTGATGTTGACAAACTTGATCTTCCATCTGTTGTTCTTCAGCGGTGAGCGAATGAGCCCGAATATTTGCTCAAATATGCCGAGGCAGACTGTGTCTCTGTGGATGGTCCCGGCAACAGCCACCAGAACTAGGCCGTGCGGGGAGGACAGCACTTTGAGACCAGGCGGCTCCAAGTTGGGGCTGAAATGGAGACGCTCCTCTTTGGTCAAGGCCAGTAGACGATAGCTGACCATTTCGGCACCCAAGAACTCTTCCAACTGCTCATTGTCAGCTCTGAGGAGGACAAGTGCAACTTAATACAGTAATACGGTGCTGTGCGGTGTGTAAAAAAAAATAAGGAAATGTTATGTGGTTTGGTGAAATAAACAACATACTTTTTTTTGGTTTTGTTTAGTGTTTGGCTTTCCTGTAAAATCGAACCGGAATCAGAAATAAACAGTTTACCAAAGCATTTGGCCTGTTTTTGAAATAATTTTCCACTGTCTGCCGCTTGTTGTGAAGTTCGGATTTAGCGCTTGTGAATCCAATTTCTGCCCGCAACTCAAGGAAAAAAGACACACACACAAAAAAAATAATTCATCTGAGCCACAGGATGCACAAGGGCAGCAAATAACAGAGGTTAGGTCCCCAATTTCCCTAAAAAAAAATCTGAATAGGTGAATTTGCAAAAGCTCAACTGTGAATATATGTGGTTTACTATGTATTCATCAGAAAAAAAAATTGTATTGGTCTCAGATGATGGCCATTACGTGAATATAAGACAATGATACCTGGCAACAAGGCGGAGTTTTGCATCCGGCCAGAAATGCTGTGCTCCCCAGTCTTGAGGCTGCTGGCCCAGTGACGGGTTTTGACTGTTCCAAAGCCGGAAGAACCAACTGCTGAACTGCTGTCCCAGCAACAACATATCGCAGCCGATGTCAGTCTTCACGTCTGCCTTCTCCTCGGCTGTGTTTGGCACTGGTCTATGTCCGATGTCATCTGTCACTCCTGGAATATTTTCTTCAATCACCGCCTTAAAGAAATCCCAATAATGAAAAACAACCAAGACAATGTTTTGTTTTTCTGCCTACGGTGAATCCCTGTAAATACACGAATGATATTCCAGACCAACTCTTATCGGCGAACATTTATGATACAGAGAGACCATTTCATTTTTGAAAAAAAGTACAGCTCCCACATGCTTTAAATATATCCAAACATTCTTTGTACAGATATTGTAAACATATTCGAACATGTAAAAACATCATAATTATCGCGTCTGGGTGTGAACTGTGGCTAACAGTAGCTCCGGTGTCTTTCTGCGTGTTTTACTGTTTCCCCAGAATTTAGCAAATGGCTGAAAAGTGTTGTGGCTCACGTTAAGAAAATAAACTGTAAAATCTCAATTCAAAAATATCGATTAAAATATCTTCATTAATTCTAAAAAAAACACACACACTCACAAACACCAAAAGCATCAGCTCGTTTTGGTGCATCCAAATATTTCAATAACACACACACACACACACACACACACAAACACCAAAAGCGTCAGCTCGTTTTGGTGCATCCAAATATTTCAATTTGACCCCACCTTGGCAGTTGACCAAAGCTCCAGCGTGCTCTTCACCAACTGGTGCTTCTCAGTACTGGGGGGCATCGCCACCCCCTCTTTGGCCAGGTACTTGAATATGATGTCCCGGTGGACCTTCTTCCTTTTCAGCAGCTCCTCTGCATTTTTTGTGAAGGAGAGGATTGTCTCTCTGGCCTCTTTATTTAAAAAAATAACGAAAACAAAAAGGCAGTAGACTATTACAATTCACTTCAGTGCAAAAATATTCACCAGAAAGAAGACATGTTGACATTCTTTGGGTCATTACGCTGAATGCGACGCGCTAAGTAAACGTTTCACTGACATGCTAACTATCACAGAGAGGACATACCTGTAACATCCTCCACCATAATCATCTTATTGGTAACAGTATCACTCAGTGAAAGTAGGTCCTCTTCCGACATCATATTTAATATTTTCAAACACCCAGAGCGCTCTGATTCTGACAGAAGTGACATTTTGTTTACCACAATGTGAAAGTAAGATAGAACAACCAAAACAACTGGGTCCGACTGCGAACATATTCGGGCAAGACAAGAAGTGAAATCATTGTTCCGGGATAAAATCTGCAATTCTTTTTTCTGTTAATAAGCAATAAAATCCTTTATATTAAAAAAATGCGCTTTGGGAACAATATGATATAAAGGGTAGCACAAAGGCTAATGTTTAAAAACAATCCACCAAATGGGGAAGTCTGTGATCGGTAATCCTGTTGAAATCTTCGGCACAGTAAACGCTCCTCTGAAATATATTATTTTGGACAAATGTATACATATTTGGAATTGAATTATGTACGTAGCTTAGTACTTGTCATGTCTGGATGCAGCAGCTAATCCTGCCCAGAACTCCGATGGACTTTTGAATCAATGAATGCATGAACGAAAGGATGGATGGATGGATGGATGAAAAAAAAATGAACGGATGGCTGAATGAATAGTTATAATGTAATATAAGCTAATTTAATTCAAAGATGTCAACAAAATAATATTGACTGTTACTGTTTTTTTCGTAGATACACTTAGTAGCCTTTTGCTGTTTGATTTCCAGATGCTCTTGAACGCAACTTGAGTATGAGCAAAGCTAGCCACACTAGCAGTCATTTGCTCATGTTCGTGCAGAGCAGTCTGAACATTCGTCATTTCAGTTCGCGTTCAAAGAAATTCCCTCATGTCTTTTAATTTTATCACAAGTTTTTTCAACGGTGTAATTTAACAGTCTATTCAACGAGGCACCGGGAATTTCCAACACGATTTCCAGGTATGTGTCGCGAATAGCTTAGTACTGTGTTATTGTAGTGTTACACTGAAATAGTCGCGCAGTTGCGTGTCTTAAATATATATATATTTTTTTACTATCCATAGTCTTACTCGTGAACACATCGTTTTATGAGTCTTACAAGAATTTAGACTTTGGACTTTGTACCTAATAAATTGCTTTTAATTTAGCCCTGCTATCGACGTTGAACAGAACCCTTGTGTCTGTACACTCAAAAAATAGCACATTTTTATCCTCATAGAATAATTGCCCAAGGGAATAAAACGGTATTGAAAAAAAAACCCCAATTAGTTTCCTTATTTTTATTTATATATTTTTGACTGTATAGATTTCAGCAAGTGGACTCTTCTTATTTGTTGTGTTTATTTCCCTTGATTACCAAAGACGTTAAAAAAACGACTTGGGAAGTATGCTGTAAGGTTAATGATTTGGAGTGCAGTCTGGTACAATATTTGATTTCATTGATGTTTACACACAGATATTAACCATCTCCTTCTGATTATGTTTTGGCTAACTTAACTGAGAGGTAAAAGTTTTCAAATGCATATTTCTTTCCACACTAGAAGAAATAAATGAGTCCAGCTGGACGTACCAAAAAGTCTGCAGGCAAATCATATGACCTCACTATGGTAGAAAAAAAAAGATTGCCAGTTGAAGAGCTATTTACTTCATGATATTTATTTTAGATCCAGTACAGTGTAGTTTTTGCTCTTCATGGACAGGAAATACTAGTTGAAATCTAAATGATACCAGTTTGACTATGCAAGTTCTCATCTGCAATCCATGTGGCGGGGGAGGGGGGAGACCGAAGAATGCTAAACCATAGATACTCTACTTTGTTGTAGATGGAGGAGTTTATAAACAGTGACAAGGGACGGGTGACCATCTACTCGATCCAAGGCTGCCCACACTGCCGGCAGGCGAAGGCCTTTCTGGCACCCTTGGGAATTCCGGTTTGCGACGTTGATCTCAATGAGCATCCGGAACTGCAGGCGCCAGTGAAGAAGCTGACAGGACGCGTCACAGTCCCTCAAATATTCTTCAACAGCCTTTATATTGGGGGAATTGAAAAACTCCGAAAAATGGTGAGGAAACAAAGCGTTTGATAATACGATCGGTACACTTGTGACTTGTCAACATGGCACAGTGGGAATTGTTGATCCGTGTCCTGTTTGAAGACTCCAGAGGAGCTTCAAAAGTTGGTGAAGATGGTCAAGGAGGAACCTCTTACAGCCGACGCTCCACCGCTACCAGAGGGGAAACAGTCACCGGGCGCTGCTTTGGACACTGACAGTGGCGAAAAAAGTATGTCGCACAATTTATAGCTTTGTAATGGAGGATAATGTTTTGGAGAAAAGAAGGACAAATCAAAGAATGAATATAATCGAACAAGAATATAATGCAGCAGAGAATTTGGGCCCTCAAAATGATTCAACATGTCTTTTTGTGATACTTTCTGTAAACACAGTGTTTACAGAGCTGCTATTGCGCAGTCATGTTTGTTTGAAGTAGTGAGGAAACTTGAGCTGGCGCATGTGCAAGGTTTGGTCTTTCGACATAAAAGTGTGTCACATCTCCTGTTAACTGAAGTTTCAAGGCTAGAGATGAAAGTGCGCTCCACTTAAATTCATCGTCGAGTGGAGCCCGTTATTCGCCGGGGATCGGGACTTGACCGCGGGTAGTGGATTTTGCTCAATAATCAGCACTGCCCTCAAATGATTTTCTATATGTATACTTTAAATAATAAATATACCACAAACTACAATCCCCCAAATACTTTTATAGCATTTTAAAAGCTTACAAACATCTTCAAACATTGCTCAGGAATATATTTAAATACTGTAACATCAAACAGAATGAACAGTATGTACTAAGACTAATAAAAACTAAACTAAAATATTTTTGCAGAAAAAAAAATGACAACTAATCAAACTACCAAACACGCTCTAAAAAATAATTAAAATGAAATGAATGAAAAAGAAATACATATCTATATACATATACGGGTGACGGTATTGAGTGCTGAGGAGAGGGAGTTGGGGGAGTGTAAAGAATAATTTCATCTTATACTTACAAGGTGAAGAGAATGAAATGGAGGTCGGTGTATATGAATGTGAGCGATGACCGTAAGCGTGGACGTGTCACGTTTCTATTGTTGTACTCCTTATCAGAATTTGAGTGTGAGAAAGACGGCTTGGCTGACCTGGTTGCCGAGCTTAAAGATGCCAATTTGATTGGCATTCACAGAAAGGGGCTGGCTTTGTACAGGAAGAGCTTCTCAAAGGACAAACTGCTTGCCTGGCTCCAGAAGAACAAGGGCATGGGTAAGCCGAGGTTCAAGGGCAGCAGTACAAGTCAAATTCAAATCTCGTGACCATTTCTACAAAGGCCTTGTACGTAAAATTGGGTCCCGTCCAGCCTTGACTGTGGTCCTGTGTGTGCTAGACCACAGTCAGGCCCTGAACGTTGGCCATGAATTGTTGCTGAAGAAGTACATGGTCATTGCCGGAGCGCACTGGGATTCGGATGGCAGATTTGGAGCAGCCAGCGGGGACACGTTGTTTAGGTTGCTGGAAGATGACCCGCATTCGGCCCTCAACGCAGGACAGACTGCGTCCTGCAGTCCCCTCGAGGGTACGTCGGGTAGCGGCTGGCCTGTGGCCTGTTGACCTCTGGGGACTTTTTACACCCAAGCAAACTCTCCTTCAATCTTTTTCCAAGTTCTCCTCCTGTCACTGCTGATACTCGTTCCATAAGGCTCCGTTGGGTTGTTTCTTTAGGCAACTGGTGGTGGTTTTGGGGGTAAAAACTAGGTCGGCACCCGAGACTGTATGGACAAAAGCCTGTTTTTAACCACCAGATTCTGCTTTGGATTCACTCTCGCATGGTATGCTGTCTTTTAATTAAGGCCACAAACATATCGTAGTTTCCGCCCTATAAGACGCACCTAAAAGCATTCAATTTTCTCAAAAGATGACAATGTGCCTTATAATCCGATGCGCCTTATATGTGGATCAATATTCTGATTTCTTTCTTTTCAATATTCTGTAAAGCGCTTGGTTACAGCTGCAGCGATTATGAAAGCGCTATCGAAATAAAGCTTTATTGTATTGTTTTGTATTCCCTTTAGGATAGCTCCATCTAGTGGATGCATAACACAATCGCAGCCACGATTGTAGCTCAGTTTCTATGCGCCTTGTAATGCCGTGCGCCTTATATATGAAAAGTGTTTTAAAATCAGCCATTAATTAAAGGTGCGCCTTATCCTCCGAAGTGCCTTACAGTGCGGAAAATACGGTACTTGAGTGTTGCTTCTGTGTTTTGTGTCTTTTAAACTGGATTTCAAAGTAATTTGCTCTTGCTTTATGGCTGGCAACGAATTTCCTCTTGTATTTCCTTTATTTTGTCATATTAACATCAATTTTGCTAACTCGTCCATGATAGTTTATCAATTCTTATTAATAAATGAATGTTGTTGTTTTTTTCTTTCCTTCTCATAGCGTCTGAACTCTCCTTGCTTTTACGTGAACTGATTCTCAAGTTGTTCTCGGAGCATCTGTCTGCTGACGGCAAGGTTTCACACTTTCATTTTACTACACTTATACATTGACCGATGTCAGGAAATGTTCCATGAAAATCCTCAATTCACTCACATCCTGTCTGCTTGATTTTAAACCACCGTGTGGAATTGCCTCATGTTCAAAAATGCCGTGTTCCAATACGAGTCCTTTTTTCCTCCCTCAGTCAGTGGACTACAAGGGCATGTCGGCCAACCCCGCTTTTCAACGCTACTCCGAACTGGCCATTCAACTGCAGAGGGTCAAGCTCCTCTCGCTGTCCCGGGAGGAGACGCTGGCCTTCTTCATCAACATCTATAACGCTTTGGTCATCCACGGTTACCTCCGCATGGGGGCTCCCACCAACACTTGGCAGAGATACAGAGTAGGACCCCCAACCCTCTTAACCAGCCTCAGTGTTTTGCTCGACTACTCCAGGCAACCGCTTTTGGATCTTGTTCCACTTTTGTAGTTCTTCAACTACGTCAGCTATCTGATCGGAGGAGAAGTCTTCACCTTACAGGACATTGAGAACGGCGTGCTGAGAGGGAACAGGAAAGGGGTGGCGCAGTTCCGAAGACCCTTCTCCAAAACGGACCCCCGGCTACAAGTATGCCCTACGGAAAACACAGAATATTTTATTTACCGAAAATAAAATGTCAACTTGAACACAATCTGATCCGTGAGAATTTGCTCGACTGTCAGACGAGGCAAAAAGCCAACGAAAAAGCGAGAATGAATTTCGACTGAATTTCGTGACGTTCAACTCTGCAGGTTCCGTTGCTCTCTAACCAATTGGCAGGGCTTTAGTTTCATTTCCTGTCATGTCCCCCAGCTGGCGCTCAAAGATGTTGAACCTCTCATTCACTTTGCCTTGAACTGTGGCGCAAAAGGCTGCCCTCCCATCAAGACCTACACACCGCAGGTATGCTTCCTGCGCTTTTTAACTCACTCAAATAAAAACTCAAATAGAGTCGGGGTACACGTCACACTACGTACACGATTTCGTTTTCAAACAAACTTTGTCTTACTTGATCCTGGCAGGACATCGACAAGCAGCTCCGCACGGCGGCCGAGGCTTTCTTGGAGAATGACGACGCCTGCGTCGTGGATTCGGGGAAAAAAGAAGTCCGGCTCAGTCAGATCTTCAAATGGTACAAGGTTGACTTTGGAGGAACTGATGAGAAGGTAACCGCCCACTATAGCTAAAATATAAAATACATTTTTTTAATTGTCATTTATGTAACATGGGTTCCTTATGATATACATGCTAAATGCATGGTGTGAATCCCTTCCGATCCATTCCTGCCATCTTGTTCCGGCGATATGCGACTACAAATCCCTTTTCGAGGCGGCCCTTACCCGCTCACCTTTGATGAAATTGACTGTGGAGGCTTCAACCTGAATTCTCGATGCTCCTCCTGCCTTTCTTCCAGCTGCTGAAGTGGGTGCTCAAGCACATGAGCGACTCCCCCAAGAAGACCAGCTTGAAGGGAGTCCTCGCTGCCGGAAAGGCCAAAGTCAGCTTCCTCCCGTACGACTGGAGCTCCAACAGCAGCCACTGAAAACAGATCCGACATCCTCTCTCTGACAATGGGCTTCCCTTCGCTTCTCTTCTCTTCTTCCTCTCTTCTCTACCGCTTATGCAAAACCTTAATTTATTAATGGTGGGATGGGAACCGTTTGCACTTTACCGTCTAATTGTACTGCTCTTTTTCAGGTGTTATACACGCAACACGCTGTTGTGCAGCAATATAATTCAGAGAACAATTCAGCACACACAAAAAAAAAAAAAAAAAAATGTCTTGGACTTCCAGATGTAATCTGCATGATCTTTGTCATCGTTTTAATGCAATATCAGAAACTCAGGATTCTTTGTGTAAAATCAGAGCGAATCAATGGAAACAGGCTCATGTTCACGATGTCACTTAAACAGAGTGGAACATTTTAACCCCCAAAATGCGTTTTAGTGGCAAATGAGCTGTCGTTTTAACACAGAGGTAAAACTCAAGGTCGAATTGACACATTTTTTTTTTTTTTAAAAGGTGGTCCACTTTTGTAGGCTGACCCTCAGATGACGCACAAAAGCACAGAGAGGGCTCCATGCCCTCATGTTGGGCCTCCAAAATGTGTTGTGGAAATATTGATCAACACTTCATTCGAAATGTCTACTTTGGTTATTCTTAAAGCCTCGTTGTACACAAAACATACGAAAAAAACCACCACTTCTGTCTGTTGGACCTGAGCTTGAAAAAAACAATTGTCCTGTACAGTATATGGTAGCTCTCCTTTCATTGTGTGATCCGTGTCTGCTGTATTTTGAATCCTCATTTATAAATCAGGTATAATTTTACATTAAGTTTACTTTGTCTCCACTGTATGTATATTTCAAGGAATGGTCCTGATTTTTTTTTACAGCTACTAAAGTACACCAAAGCAATAATACAGTAGTAAGAGCAGCATGTTAAATCGTAACTGCATGCAGGAATTAATGCAGCTTGAAATCCCCGAATGCACTGACGTTCTTACTACTGTTCTTTTCTTGTTTCCTGGACATTAGTTGGTTGAAGTAGTTCTTTGTAAACCCCCCCCAACAAGGCAGGGTCACTGTGAGAGTACAGAATTTTCATCCACTTGCATAGAGATGTTTATTACTACTGTAATTTACTCAAAGTGATTATGGTATGCAATGAATTGACTTGTAGGATACAGGGCTGTTTATATTAGGAGATAAAGCCTGCACATTTTCTATAACTATGCTATAAGGATGATATGCAAAAAATGTTTGAATCCTTTTTTTTGTTGTTGTTGAAACCATGACAGCAATATGTTTCCGAATGAAATATGCACTGCTTAAATAAAAATATACTGAATCGGATGTATTTTTTTTTGTTTAATTAAACAGATTTTAGTCAGTTTATGTAACAAAAATAGGTTGGCGTTATACCATAACAAATATGTTGTTTTTTTTTTACATTTGTACACATAAATAATCCATACATTAAAAAACAAAAAACAAAACAAAAAAAAAACATGAAAGACCCAAAGATTTGTATACAACTTGTCTTTTAAGTTGTTTTTTCATCTCACGCGTCACTCCCAACGTAATTTAATACTAAAGAGATCCGGGCAGATTTTTAATTTTGGTGATTGCTTGAGTAAAAAAACTCCAGTTGTTTTTCCATCAACATGATGACAATGCGGATGATCTTGAAAAATAAATACACATTTCACAAATCAGATATTCCTCTCATGCCCAATGAGCCTTTTGCGTGGCTCTCTCTGCTCGAGAGTGATGCGTTTGGAAGACTGTCAGAGAGTATTAGTTTGTCTTTCATACAATTTCTATGAATTCGACTTGACTTTTAAGGGCTAGCTAGCAAATGGCACAAACTATGTAAGAAGACCTGCGGACATTTTGATGTTTCTGCACTGACAAGCGCTTAGAAACAGTCGACGCCTTCTTGATCCACATTGCGGATACGGTTGGTATGACTGATTTTAAAAACAAAAAATGTATCAGTGTATACTACACTTGAGTTACAGTCCCCTCTCATATCCTAGCCATAATAAAAAGAGACTGTACATATTTTTGGTCAAATGAGCAGATTTCGATAAGGCGCGTTAGCTTTCGTCATCCGAATCAAATCCAAAGAGAGCCGAGCACGTGTTGAGAGCTTTGTGATTCTGGAGTTCTTGGACGCTGTCGAAGGAGGACAGACACTTTTCGCATCGATGTCTGATCTTCTGTTCACGTTTACCTTTGCTCTCGTGCGTCTCATACCTCACCGAAAAATGCGTCTGGGCGTAAAAACTGCAAGACTGATTTTGCGTGTGGGCTTCCTCCGCCGCGGCTCTCCTTTTGCGCATGGACAGTTGCGACTCGTCCATGTAGGTGCTGGGCGGCAGCCGGGTGAAGTACGTTTTGTAGAAGGGCGCGTAGGTAGGCTCTTGAGGGTTGAAGGTTTTGTGCTGCGCGATGAGCGGCTCCTCCCACTTGCTATCCACGCCCTCGGCCATTGTGGTGTTTTTCTCCATGTCCTTGACGTTCAAGGGGTCCGGAACGGGATTCCTGCAGGTAAATCTGAACTTCTTTTTGTGATGCGCTTTTTTCGACGCGGCGCGCTTGCTTCCTTTTGGCCCTTGGCATTGTTTCGCCTCCTCGAATCCGTTGATGGGTTTTTGGATGGGCTCCGCCGCTTTCAAACAAACCTCGGCGCTATCCGGCGCGTTTGCCTCAACGGCGAGAATTCCCGAAGTGGTTTTCACAACTCCCGGCTTCTCCTGGTTGATTTGCTTGCTCTGCGACCATCTCTCCTCAACCTTGACCCTTTGCTTCCAGGGCGCCTCGTCGCTTTGCCTCTGCTGCCGGCCCAGGTCGTCCCTCTGAGGGGGCGGCACGTAGTGTCGCCACTCGTGGTCAAAGAGGTTTATGATGTCTGAGAACTGCTTGTTGCAGTTGGCAAAAGCGCACATGGCGCTGAAAGGGTCGTGGGTGCTCATGTGCGCTCTGAGTTCTTGCGAGGTCAAGAAGCGCTGGTCGCACTGCACGTGGAAGCAGAAGTGTGGCAGTAAGGGGTCGTGGCGCCTGATGTGCTCCTTGTAATACTGGACAAACTGGAAGTTGCTGTTGGAAAGGAAAGCAAAAAGGACAGAGATCAACATGAGGGAAGGAATCTGTTTAAACACGTGCCATTAAAATCCTGATTTGTTTTCACGGTAAAGCAGTTGTGGCAGATGTGTAAGAAAAAAAATGTAAATAAAAAGCTTTCAAAACTGTCGTAATTTCCGGACTATAAGCCGTGACTTTTGTCACATGCTTTCAACTCTGCGGCTTATTTAATGAAGCGGCCTATATTAAGATTTTTCTAGCGGCCGCCTGTGTTCCGTTTTTCTTTGGAAACATCTCATGCTACAATGTGGGCACCTGTGGCTTATAGACGAGTGCGGCTTATGTGTGTACAAAATGTAGTGGGTGCGGCTTATAATCAGGTGCGCTCTATAGTCCGGAAATTACTTAAACTTTAAAAGTATTGCAAAGGGGGGGGGGAAAAATCCACTCAGGACAAAAGGTTATGTCACATCACAGGGGGCTACTGTGCACTTCCCCCAAAACCATTTTTTTAAAAGGCCATAATGACAAAGAAGAGAACGGCTCTCCGATGTTTGTATTCACAGTGACTCAATAAGTTGCAATAATGTGTCCAGTATATTTTTTGCAGAGGATAAAGAATATGTAGATGTTACTCTGCTGTTTGTGTTCAAACGCTTCCATTTCTTTGGTTTCTAAAACGGTGACAATTGATGCTAACCATGAGCATCAATTAGCATCGTTAGCATTGGCTTTGGTTCGTTTAGTTCAGGGGTGTCAAACGTACGGCCCGCGGGCCGGATCCGGCCCGCAAAGGACTTTAATCCGGCCCGCGAGATGATTATGTAAAGCAGTGGTGTTAAACATATGGTCCGCGGACCGTTCAATCAGGCCCCACAGGATAATTTAAAAGTGAAGAAAATGCATAAAAGACACAGAATAAATATTTTTAATAAGGTGCAATTCATTGAGTATCCGCTAGGGGGCACTGTTTTGATCAGAGAGGAAGACAACAGCAGCCTCAGTCCACCACTGAGACAGACCCATGACAGCAGACGCTATCAATAGCACTCTCACATTTACACTTTTAATAGCACGCTCCTTAGTTTGTAAGGTGTAGGCAGGGATTACATTTAGATTTTATATGTACGTGTAAATGGTTTAAAACTTCCTTTATTTATAAATCTCGATTAATCTTAAAGTGCATTACTATATTTCAAAACCAATTACTTGTTAAAGTTTGTACAATCAGTGGGATAAGTTGCAATGCATATATGTGAATGATAAAAGTAAATTGCACATTTGTCGAAGGAAATGTAAGGTGCTTCACGAAATGTTTTGTAAAAGATATGTTCATTTAATTTCAACATTTTCCTAATGTTCTTGTGCTTCTTTATACCAAAACAAAGGAAAGACATATTGTTTTGGTTATTTATAGCAAAGTATGGTATCATTTTAATGGTCCGGCCCACTTGACATCTACCCAGGCCGTATGTGGCCCACCATGTGAAATGAGTTTGACACCCCTGGTTTAGTTTGACGGTAAAAATAAACCGTGTGCGACATAAAATTGTTGGAAGCCTCCGTTTTTGGAAAAATTGTGCACCATTTGCCAAAGCGCTGCTTATTCTGACACGAGTTGAGTTAACGGCGGCCCCGATCTCAGGTTCATCAAAGCAAATGCAGTCTAATGGCGGCGTGGATTTGGAAAAACTTGCAAGCTGGTTCACTCATACTTTTTAGGCGTAAATCCTCTGCCTTGGTCTTGATGGACCTATAGTGTTGGGTTCCGCAGACGTGAATGAAACTTACCGACTGCAGAAGGTGCATTTGTGCTTGGCCCAGACAAAGGTCTTTTCCAGCACTTGGTCATCGTTGAGGTGACTTCTGACGGCGTGTTTGGTCAAGTTGCTGCCGTGTTTCAGGAACACCCGATCGCAGGACGAGGAAGGGCACAACACGTACTTGCCGACGGCGTCGTAGCCGTTTTCTCCGGCCGCGTCGGCTTCGCCCTGCTTTGCGGCCGCGGGAGCTTTGATGATGACCAGGTCGTCTTGAATGACCACCTGCTCGTCCTCGAAGTCTAACGGCACCGCGGCGGCGTCTTTGTTCAACTTCTTGGACTGGGCCTGTAGCTTTCGGAGTGCAATGCGGAGGTTTCGCATGATTCGATCTTCCCGACTGAGGCTGGAAACTTTGACTTTGCTGAGTTTCTTCCGAGGTTCCTCGATAGGTGTCTGGTTCTCGTTGGGAGCCTCCAACTGATTACTCGTCGTCCCGTTTGTGGTTTGGGCTCCCTCGGCCTCGGCGTCTTTGTGGTTCTTGCACATTTCTTCGATGTGCTCCCAAATGTGCTTCTTGCCAACGACTAAGTGCTGGAAGCATTTGCCACAGATGATGCACCTGTTGCGCCTCTTGAAGTGGGCAATGAAATGCCTCAACACATTCAAGCCTTTATAGTTTTTCTTACAGGGGTGACAGTAGAAACTGACACAAGCGTATTTTTGTCCTCGTTGCACCTTTTCCCTCCACGTTCTCTCCACTTTCACCTGAGACAAAAGACACACAGCGGTTTCTCAACTTTGATGTTGACGGACGGCTTCCCTTCTTCCTCTTTCAAAGCACGTCTTCTCACAGTCGATGCATCCGGCATGAAGCCATTCACGTTTGTTCACAGAATGGAAGTTTGATTTGATTTATTACTTTGACGTACTGGAAAGTAATCCCCTCGTATCATCGCTGGGGTTACGCTCTAAAAAGAACCCGTGATAAGTAAAATCCCTAAATAGTCATCTTGACTTTTTTTTTAACCATTATTACGCATACAGTACTCTATGGAATGAAAAAAAAAAAGATTACCCCCCCTAAAAATAAAACGGGATGAAAAAAATTGGTGAAACAGCCAACCCGTGAAAGACGAACCGTGTTATAGCGAGGGATTACTGTGTACGGTCAAACTGATTGGAACCGGGTCCGCCGGTTAATAGCGAAAATCATCGTTTTTGACTGACTGCATTGATGCCCATTGAAATGCATTGGGGGGAAAAAAATCCAACCCCCCAATTAGTTTTTTTTTAATCCCCCAATAATTCCTCAGAAAACACTAATAATAAACATTCAAAATACGTTCTACAAACATAACGGGGGACATTTAAAAAAAAAAAAAAAAAAATATATATAATATATATATATATATATATATATATATATTTCGGAGCACCAACCTGTATAAACTACCAAAAAAATCCTTATAAAGAGCAAAAAATCCTTATAACATACCAAAGCATTTTATATGTCAAAATAACGGCAGAAAAAAACCCCACGAAATATGAATGATATATTTGTTTCCTTGTAGAACTTGCTTGTACACTACCGAAGTATGCAATGAATACTCTGCTGTTTTCAACTAGGAACCACGTGATTTACTGGAAAG